CATGGGCTGCGCAGGGATCCCAGACAGCTGCTTGGCGGGGGCGTAAATGAAATGGAATGAAATAATAAAATAAAATAAAATAAAATAAAATAAAATAAAATAAAATAAAATAAAATAAAATAAAATAAAATAAAATAAAATAAAATAAAATAAAATAAAAATACTCCCAAATTAAAAGCCGGATGGCCCTGGCAGCCGTTTCCAAGAGTTCACCCGGCTGCTGCAGTGGGAATCCAGCCGCCGGTGCTCTATCCCGGCGCGTGGCTGAGCCCGGCTCAGCGGGAGCCTGGAAACGTGAGCGGGATGTGCCGGCAGAAGGCCATAATGCGGCGGCCGCGGCTGCGGAGCGGCCCTGGCGCCGGGGAAGCAGGTGGTCTCACAGAACAGCCCGCCTGTGTCGGGAGGGGTCAGGGATAAAGGCCCTGGGAGCACCGTGGCCATGAGGCCCTTTGTCAGGAGAGCGGCTATTGTCAGGCGCAGAAGGCGGCCGGCGAGCCGCAGGCCTTGACTAAGCGGGCTGTTTTCACGCCAAGACTTTTTTTATTATTATTATTTTCTATGTGAAGCAAGAGCTGCGGATCACGGATCACTCTAAGAAATGGGAGTTTGATGGGAAACGCCAGATTTTCTCCCCGGCTGCCGCTGGACCGCACCGATGAGGCAGCTGGAGGCGGCTGAGCTGGAAGAAAACGCGGCTCCCTCGGGACCCCCCTGCCTCCTTGGCGGCCTCCCGTTCCCCAGGAACAGCGGGATGCAGCGTGGGCAAGCTCGCGGCCTTCCCCGGAGCAGCAGCCATGTGCCAGGCTGCCCCCTTGGCCCATCCCGGCCAATCCTGGCCCATCCCGGCCTGTCCGGCCCAGGGGCACATGGGCCCCGGGGCCACATTCCTGGGCCGCTGTTTGTTGCCCTCCCCGTGGCCCGTTGCCATGGCGATGCGGATTCCAGGCGTGCGGAGCCCCATTCCTCCGGGTCTCCTTGGAGGAGAGCTGGGCTCCCCCCCCCGCTCCGCCTTCCCTCCACGCTGGCTCTCAAAGCGGGGACCCCAAGGCCCCGCTCGCCGCCCCCTGCCCGCTCCACCGCCCCCAAGGCCTCGCTCAAGATGGTCCCTGTGAAAATTCCCCCATTTCTCGGCCGCTCTGCATTTTGCCTTCAGAAATCCAATGCCGTGGATGTGGCCGGGGGATCCCCCTGCCTGCATTTCCCAGCTCCTCCTGAGCCCACAGAGCGGTGCGGGAGGCGATGGTCAATCCCAGCTCCATGAAACGCCAGGAGACGCCAGCCCGGGGGCAAGGAAGTGTCTTGGAGATGCAGCAAGTCGGGGCGAAGGGCTCCTAATTCACCCTTCATAGCCAAGGTAGGAGCTCAGTTGATGCCCTGCAACTTAAGAGCTGGAAAAAGGGAATTTAATGCTTGGAAAACACTCTTTATAGTCATTGGTGGAGACAAGAAACATGTCCCGCTGGCTGCAGCAAAGACGTGCGGCAATGGGCAGCCCAAAGGGGATGTGCTCACATTGGAAAGCCAAAAGGRATCCTAAGGAATTGGGCTGCAAACTGAACCTTCAGCTACACACACTACAGGGCACGGGAAACACAACTGAGGCAAACAGGGGTATAAATGCACCTTGGGTACAGACACCGGGTTATAAAGTGCAATCCTGCTGAATCAGGACGGGGAGAATAGCAAGCTCCAGCCAGTTACCCAGGGTGAAAATTATTCTTTTTCCAGCCACTCCTGCTGCCACACGATATCCTGCTCCATAGAGCGCCACTGCGTAAGAACGGGCCAAGCGGTCAAACGCGCGCTAGTCATAGGGAGCTATGTTGGCAGATTGAGTCACGTCGAGCGGGATCATCCCCCAGGCAAAGGATTCCGAGGGCTGGCGACCGAATGCGGCCGCGTGGGCTCGTCCCGCCGGTTTGGGAGCGCTGCACTCCCAGGCCGTGCTTTAAATCCCTCCTCCTGGCAACCGGGAGCCGCTATCGCGCGTTACGCGCGCCCTCTCCTGGCCTCCGTGCGCAGCTGGCCCCCGGGCCCTCCGGCCACAGCGCGCCCTCCCCGGGCCTCCTCCCCGGGACACCCTATTCTGCCTTGAAAAGATATTTACTTTGCATTGCTTTTTCTTTTACAAAATCAGGGACTGAAGGAATGGGACACTGCACTCCAAGTTAGACTGCGTCACCACCATCATCATCTGTCYCAAAATAATGAGTCAAGAGGACAAAAGAGAAAATGGATCTCTCCTAGAAGGCTGCATTTCTTCCCCACTGCCATGCAATTTACGTCAAGGCGTAGCCATCTAAAGCCASGGGGAAAGGACGCGACTCCTTCAAAGCGCGTTGAGTTCCTACACCCAAAGGAGCTCCCTTGGGCCTCTCCTTCGTGTTGATCRTGCAGSCCTTGGCTCTGAGCGCTCGGTTGCCGAGGGCCCCGGGTGTCGCGGGCGGGTGCGGCCCCGGTGCCGGCCGAGCTGCCGCCCGTGAGCTCACAGAGGGCCCCGCTGCCGCCGCCCCGCGTGGCGCCGCTTTGTGAGGTGCTCTGTGCTGCGCTGCCGTGTTTCACGTGCGGCAGATCGTGCTGGAGCGGCGCGGCGAGCGGTGCTGGAGCGCTGGGGTGTCCTGAACGGTGCCTTGTGCTGCCTTGCACTGGGAAGCGCCGCGGTCTCGCTCTGGGAAGCGCCGCGGTCTCGCTCTGGGAAGCGCCGCGGTCTCGCTCTGTGGTGCAGAGCACAGAGCTGCCCCTGCAGACGCCGCTCGAGCAGCTCCTGTCGGCGGGCTCTGGCGGGTGGTGCCAATGGGCAGCATGGTGGGAGCGCGGGGTGCRTCCACCCYGGGGCGTCMCCTCCTGCTGCTGCTTGGCCTCCTGGTGTCCCTGTGTGTGCGGGACACCTGGGCTGCTCCGTGGGTAGCTCCAGGCCCAGGTAGGGCAGGCAGAACGGGACAGTGCGGAGGGCCAGGGCCACAAGAGGCACCTATTGGATTGCAGGGCAGTGGTGGTGGGTGCCAGGCCCGGGGCAGCTCCCTGTGGCTCGTGGGACACAGAARGAGAGGCAATACGGGCTGGGTGGGATGGGTGCAGGGGCTGGGCCTAGAGCAGCACCAGGCRCTGCACAGCAGGACCTCTTGTCCCCAGATGTGAATCCAACATTGCCTGCTGGGGATGGTGATTCTGCTCCAGAGGCCTCCATTGACCCATCCCTGCACCCTGGAGGTGAGTGCTCTGGGGACGCTCCCTGCAACGCCTACAAGCTGCCRTTAGCTCAGGCTTCTGGGGTCTTTTTTGGCCATTTGCTGGATGGGGAGCTGCTAACAGGAGACCCTGTTTGCACCTTGGCTTCGTTACAGATTTGGTGTTTGTGGATTACCCAGCTCCTCAGCTGGGTGGTGAAACAGAACCTCCAGGTCTCCCTGAGGGTACGTAGTCGATTCTCCCTCCTCATAAAGTGTAGGAGCTTTCTTTGTGCTCCTTTCTTCACGTGAAATTGTACTTCCTACTTGCTCTTCAGATGGTTCTCGTGCTTCAGGGCCACAGGGAGACCCCAAGGGTGAGTTGTGAAGCATTTCTTGGCTTTGAGAGCTGCCTGCCAGGYGCAGATGCTCCYKGYCCCTCCACAGCTCTGAGATTATTGACCAACCTACGTGTCCCATKTSATGAYGTGACCACCCCTTCCATTCMYTCTAAACTGCTTGATGAAAGAGTTGGTASCATTTTGTATGCAATATTTCTTGCTGCTTTCAAGCATGCTGCAAAGTCCTCAGGCTTCCTGGGTAAAAGATCCCAGCCTGCATGAACTCCGGGGAGTCCTTTCTCCTGGCCCTTCTGTGGCTGCTGGTTTTGAACCCTTTCCATGCTTGTGTCCACTAAGAGTTTGCAAGGTGCTCCTACGTGAAAGGGTAATTCAAGGGCTCTTCTGTCTTTCTCTGTGTTATAATTTTATGCCTCCTGATCTTATTCTGTACCATTTAAATGCCAAGAAGCCTATGGATCTCCATGTAATGGGCTTCATTCTCATATATTTGATTACAAATATGGCTGTAGCTGACGGACAAGTGCCTTTCTTGATTTGAACCTGGAAGTGAGTAGTCATCAACTACCCCTTGAGCACTTTTTAGTTAGTAGCGCATTCCGGATGAAGCCAAGGTCTGCAGCACAAATCTCCTGAACAAAAAGGGCTGCAGAACAGCTGGGCGTAGCGCTGGGTCAGTCTTCCCCTGAACAGTAGGATCCTGCGCGTGAGCAATGTGGTCCTCCATGTGTAGGTCGTCTGTGTGTTTCTACCTCTGGTGATGGGTGGCTATTGCACAGTACCTCGAAGCTGGATATTGAGAGATGCCAGCCTGGCCCTCCTGCAACTAGGGACCTCACAAAGTACATGGGTGACCCCCATTCGCCTCCCCTTCAGGGCAGGTCACTTATGGAGATCAGTCACAGTGCCTAATCAAAACTTGCCTGTGTTTGCTTACAGACATGGCTGCAGGCAGTGCCCTTCCATCTTCCCAG